AGATACAGTTTTTGGTAATACGGCTTTGCGCTTTGCAGCCGAGGAAGGCCACTTGGAAGTTGTACGATTGTTGCTCGAGGCTGGAGCTGATAAAGATGCAGCAGATACATGGGGTGGTACGGCTTTGCAGGTTGCAGTCCAGCAAGGCCACTTGGAAGTTGTGTTGTTGCTCGAGAATGGAGCTGACAAAGATGCAGCAGATACAAATTGTGATACGGCTTTGCACATAGCAGCCCTGGAAGGCCACTTGGAAGATGTGCGATTGTTGCTCGCGGCTGGAGCTGACAAAGATGCAGCAGATACATGTGGTGATACGATGTGATACGGCTTTGTGCTTTGCAGCCTACAAAGGCCACTTGGAAATTGTCAGTTTGCTGTTTGAGGCTGGAGCTGACAAAATTGTGGGAATAACAATAAATAAGACAACATAAGACAACCCCTCATGTCATGAACTCACCCCTCACTACCACTACATTGCAGCATTGGAGTTCCTCTCGTTGTTGTTTTCCTAATTTTTAAGAATTGTATTTATCTACCTTTGTGTAGAATGCGCCAATAGGCTAATACTATTCAAGATCATGATGTAAAGCTGTGAGTATACCACGACCAGTGTAGAATGTGTATCTATGCCAATACTATATCTCATTGGAACTTCTGCTTTCAACAAGCACGCATTTCTCATTTTGCTGCGAGCCAGCGTTGGGAGTGAGGTCGACGACCAACTCCAGTGGCCAATGAAGGGCTTTGGGTTCCCATGTCCAAATTAGAAGTACGCTAGCTGGGGTCATTTGGGAGCTTTACATCATTAGGACCGTGTTTGCCAAATGGTTGCTAGTACTCCTGCTACTCAGTTCAGTCAGCTAGCCAATCTGACTGACCGAATGGAGAACGATCAACCATTAGATGAACAGATGCTTTGAAAACCCCGTGTTGTTGCTATAGTTTTTGCGGATTCCACAAAGCTTTGTTTGATTTGCTCATGGACTTTCTATTTTTGTGCAAAAGCCAAAGCTAACTCGAGTAATCACAAGTATTGTTCCACACCCGGTGGGACTGGCATATAGACCTACATTGGGGGGTTGACCTGGGCTCAATATATGTCTAGAGTTTAGCTTCACCTAAAGCGCAGCCTTGTGGAGTGCGAAGGTGTTGCTTCAATGGCAATGTCCAGAAAACACGGACACTGCTGCTCAGCAGACATGGAAGGTACGGTGCTTTGCAGATTGAGATCCGCAAGAAATCGGCAACCTTCTAAGAGATGTTCTCATGAAGAAATCGGAAGAACCCAGCTTCAGGGAGAGAAGCGACCAGCTTGTCAATGGTCAGCTGTGATATGTATCCTGCATTGATTCCAGTCCCATGGAGTGTCCGGGGTTAGGTCGATTAGTGCTTGCTCGATTCAATGGAGTTGTTTAAGGGGAACATCTACCCAAACCATGACGGCTTTCACCGCTTTCACCATTGGCTTTCCGAGGTTGTTATGTTGTCCGTAAACAAGGTCTTGGGAACGTGACGATTTGGATGATTTCTTACATGGACCCCATGCCCACATGACGGCCGTCGGGCGAAGTCTGGCCCACTCTTCCATGGGACTGACTGCAGTATTTGCCTACATGTTGAATAAGGTAATGATGCTTTGACTGCTTTGATTTTGATATGGTTGATTAAAATGAAGAAATCAACCATATTTAAAATCGGGTTTTATCCTGTTTCATTTTATGTTCAAAAACTTCACTCAATCAACTTTTTTAACATTTTTTCTCCACCTGCCGCCGCGCCCCCTGCCCACCTGCGCCAGGTGATGAAGGACTCTTGGAAGAGGTGGTTCTCCTCCAGCCAGTGGTGCAGCCGGGCGTGGCCGCGTCGGTGCCCCGGCTGTTCATCACGAGGTCTGAGACCAGGACCTCAGGAGTTGGGTGGTAGACATGGACAGCCCGAATCAGCGAACGAAGGGGCAATCGACACCCAACAGGCCTTGGAGGGTGGTACAAATGCCTCAAATAGACACCCCTTCAAAGGGTCCTGAGGTACAAATGCCTCAGACTGTGGCCGCTGCGCTTGCCTAGGACTCATGTCTGCAGCCGATGTGCAAGTGTTTCTTTGAATGACATGTCGACAGTTGACATAGAAATGAACGAATGAATCATCAAGTCCATCGTTTTGTGCTTTTAAAGAGCAGTTCACCACCTCAAGCTGAACTGACTCCTACCTGCGCGCTTGTGGCTCAAGCGCCCACCCCCCCCCAACAAAAACCATGGGAGAATTGCCATGTTCCGGTGGCTACCCGGTGGCTTTGACTCCTCAAACCGCTTCGGAAGCCACGTGTGGGGCTTGCGGCCGCAGCGCAGGTGGGTTTTGCCAGTCTTTCTGTGGCCAAGTTGTTGGATCTCATCCAAGCAGCACAAGGCAAGACCCGCTATGGGCAACCGGGCTTGGGTCGGTTGATCAGGGTGGGTTGGCGTCCTCTTTAGTGAGACAGGGGACGATCTGAGGAGAACCCACGGCTGAGAGGTCTCCAGTGACCGGAACTAGAACTCGAATTACCTAGGGACCAATAGGATAGACTATATACCAGGACCCCCAGGTCGGGGTGGTTAATGGACACCCCGAATCACAGGTAAGCGGCTATAAATAGACACCCACTTGGAGTTCTTCAACCTTTGTTGGTAGGTGAAGATCGGGGGGTGCTTTGACGTTGTGGGACCCCTTCTGGGATCTGAGCAGATTGGAAGAGGTTGGCCCGCCGCGAAACTGATTTCGTCTGCGAGGTTGAGGTGAGACGAAACGGAAAGGCAAAGGTCTGGTGAGGAGCTGGCGTTGCAATGGTCTCATCGATGCTGTCATGTCACCAGATGCCAAGAACATGAAAGAACCATGTTTTCCCCCGTGTCAGCCACATGCCCGGCGGCTCCATGCCCTCCACATGCCACATAAAAAAATCACCAGCCCCTCCCTTCCTCCAGGTCCCTTCCTTCCAATTCCCCAGGCCTCCAGTAAGCTTCCTCCAGGTCTCCAGGTCCCTTCCTTCCCTTCCTTCCCTTCCTCCAGGCCTTCAATTTGCCGTTCGATCTGTCGCTCTCTTTCGCTCCAGGTGGTCCAGGTGCCATGGAGGACCTTCGCAGTTCCCTCTCGGCGGCCTTCTCGAGCCCTGGCGGCACAAAAGGCCGCTGCGGTTTGGGGGTGGTCCGGACTGGAAGAGATAGTGCCCCAGGAGACCCCAGGTCAACCACCCCAATGTAAATATGGCCCATGGAGTGTTTGGGAATGATTTCCTTTTGTTTCCGGGACCGGTTTTTCTTCCCCAAACCTGGGGAATATGTTTTATTTTCCCCATTTTTCTCCTGGTTTCCTGGACAGCAAATCCAAGTCTCGCGACCTGTTTGGGACTGGCAACAGGGGTATCCAGTGACCTGAAAGGACCGTAATCTGGGGCCTGGGGTATGGGATAGTCGAACCAGGGTTCTTCAACCTTTGTTGGTGGCATATGGCTCAAGATCAGGCCAGGGGTGGGTAATTTATATATGTTGATTTCAGGGTCCAATGAGGTCAATGGGGTTGCATTATTAGACTCCAGTTCCATGGGGTGTAAATCCCTTGGCGGTCACCAGCCTTTGAAGTCCAAGGAGCCAAAAAAGGTGTAAATCTCTTGGCCAGAATTTCTCACCTTCCTTGGGAGGGACACCAATCAATGAAAGCAAGTAACTAGTAACTAGCTAACTAGCTGCTAGCTAGTACCTCCTTCTCGGTGAGTGTTTGGGGGACGAGTTGTGTTTGCTCTTTTCTCCCGGCTTCCTGCAGCGTTTGCAGATTTGAGGAGCCCATCGTTGCTGAACGCCTCCTTTTGCTTTCCAGGCGCGTTTGCGGGTGGGGTGGCAGTCAGACCTCCGGGCACGGGAGGGTGGGGCCCAAAATCGGCGGGGCGGGAACCATCACCAAGAGTGAGTGGCTAGGTAGGTTACGTAGGTTATTAGATGGTTCCTGCATAGTAAAGTCCTTGTGAGCAGGTTCATTGGTTATAGCAGCGTTTGCAGCGATTGGTGAACCATGGAAGAATCATTTGGTGTGAACCACCTGAGCATTTTGAGGTTCCACCTTCATCCGCTTCCATCGATGCCTTCAATACAACCAACGGCTCGGCTATTCGGCGGCTATTAGCACCATGTCACAGGATTTCTCCGCCGGAAATGCCAGGCTTGTACAAGCCTCGCTTGGATGCTGGAGGTTTGCTGAAAGTCTTCAAGGGCTTGATTGGATGCCTGGACTAGGGGAATGCAGATCTCAGGGCGATCTCGGGGGGGCAGTACTCATCCACCGGAGCCAGGATCCTTTGGAGCCAACGAAGCTGAATCTCATCACCCCAGACCCCCAATAGAGAGCCAACATGAGCCATCAACCGGACCTTCCTCTTTCGCACCCCAAGCTGGCCCGGTCCAACGGGACACCGGTCTACCTCCGGTCCTCACCACGGTCACGGGAGGTTGGTGAAAAACGAGGTGATGCTTGGGGCTGTGCTGCTTTGGTCCAGCTGATGTCCGACAGCTGAACTCAACTCATGACCTCAGCGCTGACCTTGGCCCAGCCATGTTTTTAAACGAATTCATCTCGACCAGGAGTCACGTTCGTACGGAGTGGTGTGGTGTTTGGTCCCATCCAGGGGCTGTGGATGTGACGACGGGGCACCTAACCTCCTTCCTCCGTTCGTTCGGCACCCTGAGGTGTGTGACTGCTGGTAGGATGATATAGGTGATTCGTTCGGTGGCCCCTCAAGCCAAATCAGCAACTCTGGGGTTCACTTCGACCGGGCGGATCTCACGTGGAAACCGGTCGAACTGGTCGACTGATCTCACGTGCCCAGAGTCTCTTATTGCGATGTCCGGGGACCCGGATCGAGTGTTGGAGACAGGGCCCTTTCCGATGACAGGGCATGACAGGGCCCTTTCAGACATTGACCCGGAAGAGCTTCTGCCGCCCCATTCCTGAGACTCAGGGCCCTTTCCGATTCGCCTCAATTCGCCCAGGAAGTGAAGAGCTCTTCGCGCAAGTGGATGCTCGGTCGAAGACACGCACGATCGAGTCAGAAAGGGGTACCTATTGGAGGAAGTTGGCGTGCCCAGAGCACTCACGGACTAAACACCACCCCGTACGAACGTGACTGCTGGGATTTGTACCCATGGCCAGGCGAAGTACTTTAGACTCCGTTGCGATGCAGGCTGCCAATCCAACTTCGCCAAATCTACTTGAGACCGAGCATCGAGTGACCTGCTGGGGCAACCTTCCCCACGTTGGAATTTAGGAGATGCACATGGTGAATGCCGCCTTTGAGGGCTTGAGCTTGTGGGCCAACGACCACGATGAGGCGCAGAAAAACCTGACGGAAGCTTGATCTGCCCAGTTTTTGTGGAGCTTGCAGCCATTTGGAGAGGTATGGAGAGGTGCTGGATCTGGGAGAGCTTGGGTTCCGCACGGTCTTGTTGCTGGCATGGCCCTGGCTTGTTCAAAGACCTACGTGCAGTTTGCTGCAGTAGACCTGGACATATACGTTGCAGGTTTATCCTCCACAAGTGCTTAATGCACACCTGGACCTTCCTGTCAGGGTGTCCTGTCTGGAGATCGATATGTAGTAGTGTAAAGGCTTCTCTTCGTGACCCCTTGGAAGGCGCCGTGTTTTTCTGTATATGTATTTATGTTATATGAAGATCTACAAATTTAAATACTAAAGTTATATATACTAATTAAGTAATTAAGTACTGACTTCTCGAGGATATCACTATATCCCAGACACTCCATGTATGCCATATCATATACATGCCTACATTGACCCCCAAAACCACCCCAACTGATCGGCATATATATATATATATATGGCATACCGACCTTGCATCGATGACCGTCGGTTGAGCTCCCTGCGCCTTTCGCGTTCCACGCGGCGCGCCCGTTGAACGCGTGGAACCAGGCGGCATCGTTGATCCATCGAGACCAACTCCGGGGGCTGGCGGCCTTGTTGCTGAGCGTGGTCTGCAGAAACGGACGATCCCCCAGTCTTGACTCTGGAAATCGATGCGATGCATGGAAGGGGAAGGAAAGGGACCCCAAAATTCATGCAGAAGGGATAGGGCAGGGAAGTGGAGCAGGGAATTTGTTTGATTTTGCTGGGGGAAGTCAGGCAGAAATTCTGTGACTGGTGGACCCACTGCTAAAGAGGCGTTTACGGAGTGTACTGTGTCCAAAACCGATTCTGATGAGATGAGCCGACGTCCAAAAATTGATCTATGTGGCGGATTTTGCATTCAAAAAGCCGGAAGTAAGTTTTTGCAATTGAGCAGCAGAAATCAGCAGAACATATTATGTGTTGCCGTGGGGCCTGAACTTGTTGCTCTCTTTTGCTCTATGACATGTGCATCGTCATGTGCCAAGAAACCGACTCCTGCGCTGTCCTGCCGTACCGACTCCTGCGCTGTCCCACCTCCACCGACTCCTGCGCTGGTCCTCAGGCTGCTGTCCCCAGTCTTGGTGGATCCGGGGAAGCCGCAACCCTACGAGGCGCGGGCGAAGCGAGGTCGGGTGGGGCGCCGGGGAGGCGAAACGAGGTCGGTCGACGGTCACGAGAGAAGCCCGTTTTCCGCGTTGGAGCAGGGAAACCCAGACACTTGAGTCCATCAAACTGTCAGAGATGGTGGTTCAGGAGACCCCAGGTCAACCACCGTCAATGTATGTAAATATGGCCAGTCCCATGGAGTGTTTGGGTAAGGTCCCCAAACCTAGGGAACATGTGGTTCCTGGACAGCACGTCCAAGCATGGTTATATAGTTTGGGGATGCTCTCCACATCCACCCGAGATGGAGAGACACGCGGGAGATGCGCGTGAGAAACGCAGAAAGCGCGGAACATGTAGCTCTACGGCGTGGTAGCAGCAGGTCGTTTATGTCCCATGTTCTAAGGTACCTGTTTGATGAGTTGTTTGCTTCCAAGGGAAGGACGAGCTCCCTGGGCTCAGGGCTTCAATTCGAGCGTTGCAGGTCGTCGACTCGCGGTGGGTTCCAATCCGCCTCGAGGACTGTAGACTGCGTGCAGGAAGGCTGATGTTGTGCATCGTGTTTGTCCGGTTCAGGTTTGAAGACATTGCCATTGTTTGCCATTGCCATTGAAGACGTTCACGTTTGAATCGTTTTCAATTTTTTGCATGTTTATTTTTTTCACGACCTGGAGTTTGACCATGGCTCAAGCCGATGCTTCTTGCTGTTGAAACCTCAACAATGCAGGTTACCGCTGTGTCTGGCAACACAGTTGCTCAGCTTGACGAGAATGAGCTGCGGGACATGGTGGAAAGTGGGCAAACTGTTCGAGACCTCAAGCGACTTCTTTCAGCTCATTTTGGGTGCTCAAGGTTTCAGCAAAGACTCTTCTGTGACGAAATGGGCGAATTGGAGGATGACTTGGCTCTACGAGCACTATCAAGTCTATCAAGTGTCCAGCTGGTAATTTTGCCCTTGTGTGCCCCTGATGAGACCATGAAAGAAGAACTGCTCACAAGCTGCAAGGAGAATAATGTGGCTCACATTGAAGGGCTGCTTCAAAAGCCACTGAACCCGAACGGGGAAGGTTTGCTTCTTGCTGCCAAGGAAGGCCACTTAGAAGTTGCGCGATTGCTGCTCGAGGCTGGAGCTGACAAAGATGCAGCAAATACAGATGGCTGGACGGCTTTGTTCTTTGCAGCCCAGAATGGCCACTTGGAAGTTGTGCGATTGTTGCTCGAGGCTGGAGCTGACAAAGATGCAGCAGATACAGTTGGCTGGACGGCTTTGCACATTGCAGCTGAGGAAGGCCACTTGGAAGTTGTGCGATTGTTGCTCGAAGCTGGGGCTGATAAAGATGCAGCAGCTACACTTAATGAGACGGCTTTGCACATTGCAGCGGTTTATGGCCACTTGGAAGTTGTTCGATTGTTGCTCGAGGCTGGCGCTGACAAAGATGCAGCATATACAGATGGTCGGAGGGCTTTGCACATTGCAGCCCGGGAAGGCCATTTGGAAGTTGTACGCTTGTTGCTCCAGGCTGGGGCCGACAAAGATGCAGCATTTAGAGATGGTTTAACGGCTTTGCACTTTGCAGCCTACTTTGGCCACTTGGAAGTTGTGCGATTGTTGCTAGAAGCTGGAGCTGACAAAGATGCAGCAGATACAGCTGGTGGTACGGCTTTGCACTCTGCAGCCGAGGAAGGCCACTTAGAAGTTGTGCGATTGTTGCGTGAAGCTGGAGTGGACCAAGATGCAGCAGAAGATGCAGCAAGAAATTGCGCTGTAAACATACAGTTCATGACTCATGACCATGCAGATATGACATGACATGACTGACAAAGATGCAGTTCAGAAGATGACCATGCAGAGTGCTGCAGGTCTTCCATGCAAAGCGCAGGTCTGGCCGGCACAAGACCTGATGTGTACGCCGTGTACGTGCCGTTTCGTCACCTGGATCCACCTGGATCGACCTGGTGAGAGGAGCAGGAGAGACGGAAAAAGGCGTCCATGACCCTCAAAAACACGATCAACACCATACAAGAACAAAATACCATTAAGGTCGGACCAAGACTCTGGTGTGGCTCGTCCCATCAGTGGGATGTGATGTGGTGTGAGGGCGCGGCACCGGCAGCCTCGGATCGCCGACTTCCTTTGGCACAACTATACCCAGACACGGCGTGTCTGGGACTGACATAGGACTGCCTATTGACCCCACTGGCGGTGTACCACCCCGATCGGCCGTGCCACGAAGGCCGTCGGTCATGGAGTCGTCCCAGACAGGTCGTCTCTGGGATCTACGGCTCCCCCGGCCCTAAGAAACCGAAACAGATCGATACCGAGTTTCGGGTCAGGAGCCCAAACGGCTAAGAGTCAATGAAGAGGTCCCCTATATAAGATCCTTTCGGCAGAAATTCTTGCCTTTTTCGGGAAGAGCGGCTCTCCCCATCCTGGGGCGGAAACCAACTTTTTGCCGCGGAAATGTTTTTGTTGCCGCAAATTTTCCCTTTCAGGAATCTAGTGAGAGACTACATATATTCTATATAGAACAGTTGAATCTTTTTGGTGGTTTGCATGTGCATTGGGCATTTCTGCCTGGAATGGTCACCTCAATGATACAAAAAGATGGCGGCGCCTAAGTTTCCACCTCCACCTGCAAATCTGGCTACCATGTCACATGTCTTTGTTTTTGAAGGCTTCTTGTGCGGAATGAGCACACGAGCAGTAAAACCAGTCCAAAGTTGAAAACACCTGGCGCGAAAATGCCCGGGAAAGAGGCGGAAATACCCGGGAAAGAGGCGGAAATACCCGGGAAAACGGCGGAAATACCCGGGAAAACGGCGGAAATTTCCTGGCAGAAGGCGGGATTCAAGAACAGTGCCCTTGAAGGGCTTGAACATATATCGCAGCCTCTTTGTGAATGTCATGAATTTAGAAGTAGGATGTCAGATCTTGAGATGTGAAACTATGGCCTTGCAGAACGATATGTGGTCTGCAATCATGGAAAGAGACAACCTGGTCGGTGTTAGGCAGTGGTGATGGTTTTTGAATTGCTATGTCGGATTTTACTCGAGGCAAAAATTCCCCGCTGGCCGCGGAAATTCCTACCTGGCGCGGATTTACCTTAAATCCGCGAATCTTCGCGGGCAAATCGGGCTGAGGCAGAAATTTTTGCCCCAGGTGCTTTTATATAGTCCGTCCGTCCGATCCATGAAGCTCCGAGGCGAGGTCTTCGAGGTTGATCTCCAGGTCCAGGACACCTTGAGGTCAGATGGTCCAGGTGATTTGTTTGGACCCCGTGCCATCCCTGTACCTGGAGTCGACCCCTTCGTACCCTGAAAAATGGGTACAGTACCTGTTTTTATGGGGCTATGTCCCATTTTCTATAGGTTACTTTGGAGGGTCTAGGTAGTGCAGCTGTCGGGCCATGTTCTGTTGAGGCAAGTGAGGCAATGTTCACTTCCAAATCCACCAAGTCCTTGGATCACCCCCCTGACCATTCTCTTGAAGGTGTCCCGAACTCGTGGACAGACCTCACGTCGACCGGTCAAGCGGTCGACTCTCGCCGCGCAAACGCGTGCGAGAAGCGGAACTGAACAATGTCGAAAGCCGATCAGAAGCCCAAGGCCAAAACATACGAAAACACGACCTGACGTTTGAAGCCATGTTGACCTTCATTTGATCTAATGTTGGTGCTCTGAAATAGAGGTCGTCACTTTTGTCGGTCAAGTTTGTTGCTTCCATGTGCTACTTGCGTGCTACTGATCCATGCTAGTGCTTAGCAACTCACTGCCAGGACCATCCAAGGGATGTCCAATACCCAGGACATCCCAGGACCACCCGGGTGTATAGGTGGTTGTTGGGTTCGGTGCCTGTGACTCACATCACCACTCTTCTCCGCGCTTTGCCAGGTCATGTGCCGCATTATGCGCTTAGTCGCTGGGCTTAGCTCGGTGTTGGGCTGGTGCGAGCTCGGGGGCTGGGCGATGGCTTTCCATGCCTTTTTCTCCCCGAAACGGTGAACCCTCGGCCCTGAAAGCTTACTGTAGGGCTCCTGTCGCACCTTCCAAGACAGGTGTTCGGGGTGGGTGCCAGGAGGGTCCAAACACCTTGTGAGGATGTACTTGGAGCCTTAGGGATAGGCACTTATTGGCTGGTGAATCCGTTGCGCTCCTGGCCGCCCCCCTCCGAAACTCGGTGGGACTGGGGGGGGTCGAAGAGGACCTGAAGACATGGGACAGGAGCCAGTACAGGAGCGCGAGCTGTATAGGGAAGGATTTTTTGAGAGGACTTGGAAGGGACAGGTTGAAAAACCCGACTCTTCGACCAATCCAGTTCGGTACCCCACATCCTTCGAGATCCGCTTGTCCGGAAGGCCCGACAGCGCCCAGGTGGCCTGGATGCCGGCGGAGGGCCGCCGCGAGTTGCAGGAACTCCTCATTGACGACTGCTCCGAAGAGGAGGCCGGGCGTTCTAGGAAGTCGGGCTGAAGGGGTCTGAAAACCACTCACTGGGAGACTCAACACATCTCAATAAGTGAGGAGAAGTGGGAGACTTCCAGTTCAGACTGAAGTGGGTGCTTATTTCTCCACTCACCAATTCTTAATTGTATGTTTAACATTGTTTAACGATTTCCTATCGTTTCAAGCGCGACACAATCGATGGCGAATCGTCACAAACATTTGGAATTTGAGCCCTCTGACTCCTAAACCCAGGATTCCCGGATATTCCTGGCCTACCATTTATTAGGCTATTTAGTTTGAATAAATTGAATGTGCTTTTTGGGCCATGCAACCGGGATGTGGTTTTAAGAAATTGGATGGAATTGGTATACACCCCAGTGCATCCCAGGCACACCACGAGTAGTAAGGAACCAGGGGCCCTCGTTCGGTCAACGGTATTGAGTCGGAACCACTGGGACTCCCAGCGACATCGTGGGCACTGCCTGGATGCCCTCCTATACTGTAGCAAGAAGATGTGGGGCTGGGTGCTGTGGCATGGTGACATCGTGGGCACTGCCTACTTCTGACCTCTGATGGTCTGACCGGGGCAGCCGAGCTCGTCCACCGAGCTTCGGATCGCTCGTCTCAGATCTACCAACACCTAGCGACACGGTCATGGAAATATACCCTACACCAGGTCAGCTTGAGTTGGTCGTGCTGGAGGTCATACAACCCTAGGGCTCCAACCATATCCTCAGAAGGTGGCTAGACCCCCCTGGCACCCACCCCAACAAAAACACTACTCAAGGCTCAAGGAGGTCGTCTAGACCAGGTTTTACTGGGTCAGACTGGACTTGTAGGAGTACCTTGACCATCCTGTCTGAGCGTCCTGGCTGGAGATGATCAAGGAGTGTAGGGAGATCCAGCCAGGACACCCAGATCAATGGAGCGGAATAGATACCAGTCCTATAGGTATAGATAGACCAACAGAAGTTGAAGAACCCTAGTTCGGCTATCCAGGTACCCCAGGTCATTCATGTCCTAGTTCCGGTCACTCCGCCATAGCTTTGTTGGGATAGATGCCTATCTGCTGTTCCCCGTGATGTTCTCGTAGAAGAACAGCAAGAAAAACTATAGCATCGATCCTGTCAAGACTTCTCGACACACACACACACACCCACCAACCAACCAACCAACCAACCAATCTTGGCCTTTCTTCGGCCGGTCTTCGTCTCCCCAGGTGCTCCGGAGCTTGGTGAGCCGCGTGCGTTTGCACTGCGACGAGACGGTGCTGCGGGCGCACCAGATGCAGCGGCTATCGCCTGAGATCTGGGAGGGGCTCATGTGGCTTGGTGAGCTGAGCAAGACATGACGGCGGAACGAGGGACCCGGGGGGGGGGGGGGGTGTAGTTTTTGGTAGATGGTGGTGGTATGTGGTGGTTAAGGTGGGAAGCGTGAGCGATTGATGTGGGGAATGCGTGGCTTTCCCTAAGGCCCCTACTGTACGGGGGTACGGGGTCGGTGTCTAATGAGCTCCTTTTAGAGGTGCTTCGGGTATCCAGGATACTACCCCAAACCGGGGGCCCTCGTACATATTTTAGTGGATCCCAGGCAGACTATATATATATATATAAGGAACCAGGGATTCGTTCGGTCTATGGTTTGAGTCGAGCTGGAACCACAGGGACTCCCAGCGACATCGTGAGGCTGGGTGCTGTGCACCAAAAAAGACCTCCTGCCTGATGTGTTGGAAGTTGACCCAGCTGGAGGATGCACCATTACATGGTGAAGAATGATGACACCTACCTGATGGTATTAGACTGCGTGATTGACTTTTTGGTGACTGGTGGGTGGGTGCCTAAGAACTGGATCAATAGGCAATTTCTTTCATACAAGAATCTGTCTTGTGCATGTTTTTGGGGATACTTCTATTTGTGGATTGTGACATTTTGATGTCTAATGCATGCACAGATCTGTCACCTCTGCCTGTGCGTGTAGAGTCACCGGGCCTAGTCGCGCGATCCCAAAAAAGCGCAACGTCTTGAGGCTGCTTCAGCTCCTTTGGGGCACGAACGAGGCCCGCTTTCGATGAATGTGTGGGTGAGAGATATGGTGAGGTGACTTGAAGATGTTTCGAGAAAATAACTGATGCTCCTGGACCTTTAAGGAGTATCCAATGGAGGTCGCTTAGTGGTGTAGGGGCTTCCATTGGTGACCCCTTTGAAGGTGCTGGCTGTATATAATTCGGGACTTGGCATCAGTCCATGAACGCTTAGCTTAGCTGGTGGTTAGGAATGGTTAATTAGGAGGGAGGTGCTGAGAAAGCCTGGGGTATCCAGATGATTATTCTAGATCATTTTACTGGGTCTTTGGACCTGTAGGATTCCATATTCCAATTCAATCCGGGAGAACCCTCCCCAGGGAGTTCCGAAGCGTTTTTCGCATGCACAGGGCAGCTTGAGGATGTCCTTCGAGATCGGCGGATGGAAACAATCTCGGCTCTGACAGTTTTGGCAGAGCAAGACGTGATCTTTCTAGGTGCTCCTTGAAGCATACACTTACTCGGCAAGAGGTTTATGTTAAGCCTAAGAAATTGCACCCTGAAATGGAAAGGGTTTGGTTCGGGTCCGGACCCCTGCCATGGAGAGCCCAAAGCATAATTGGGGTCCATGCAAGTCCTCACCGCTCGCAGAAATCACCAACCAATGGAGCCGAAATCCATCCGTTCTTTCCGCACTCCTGGCACTCTCCTCCTGCAACACCCAACCAGGGTCGACCGGGAAACCGCTTCCGCGGTCTCCGCGGGGTACCTTCGGAATGCGACCCTTCGGCTCGTGCCGTTCGGAGGCGATTGCCCAGCGCTTGGCCAAGTCACTGCGGTCCTCGGAATGGCCTGAGGCGGGCGGGGCTGGCGCAGCTTTAGCATGTTCGTCAGTTCCTTCAGAGCCAGGGTTGATCTTTTGGGCAGCTTCCAAGAGAGGTTAAGTGACCGTAAATAGGGCCGTAACCTGGGGTACCGAACTGGGATAGTCTAGTTCGGGTTCTTCAACCGCTGTTGCTTCTTTGCAAGGACACAGCCACATCGCATGGCCGATGTCGCATGGAAACTCCACGTTGACCCCAACACCGGTGGGTCGCTTGACCCACCGGTCGTCAACCGGTCTCCTGGTGCCATGACCGGTCTCAGAACGATGCGCCGCGCAGAGGAGGCGCTTCTCGAAAGGGCGAGGTCGATTCAGGTCGACTGGTCTCCAGTTCAGGGCATAGAAGTGTGTAGAATGGAAGTTCAGGGCAGAATGGAAGCGCACAGTCGGACGGCCATTCTGCCGCCATCGCTCCCGGACCGGTGCCATACGGCTAGACTCCATGGAATTCTTCCACGCCCACACGAGTCACGTCGTAGATGAGTCACGTCCACGCGTGCGAGGCGGACTTTGGACAAAGCTTGGCACAAACGTTGTCGCAGCTCGGGAAGCCGGCCGCCAGCGTGTTGGGGCGCTTCACTTTGGCGCCACAGGCGTGGCGGCGTGTCGCGCGTGTTTGGGGCGTGTTTGGGGCGGTTGGTGAGGACGACTGGGCAGGATGCGGTGTTTGTTTTTGTCGTGTATGTGTGCACTGTGTGTGTGTGTGAAAGTGTTTCATTTTGGGATATGATATGGCTTCTCAAAACGGTATAGGACATAGGAGTGAAGGAAGGGAAGGTTTCTCCAAAAGCCTGGCATTGACATGCTGTTTTTTTGGGGGTGTGGATGACTTGCACAACATTCAAGATGCAATACCTCAGGTCGCTGGATTTGGATAGGGTGACAAGACTTCCTTCAAAGGGCATGCAGCAGTATACCTCATGTTGCGATCCAATCGATTTTTCCAGAAACTATGTCATGGATATTTCCACCCAAAGCATGAACTTCGAATCCACACCACCACGCGTTCTCAGGTGCGGCCGCCAGTGCCCAGTTCAGAGTTTCACTTGCAGAGCTTGGCGGAGGAGAAGGTACCTCCAGACCCTTGGCGAGTGAAAAGCGCCTTTTTCACGGCGTGTTGCACGGACAGCGTTTCACAGCAGGGAGGGTATATGATATTATAGGATGTTTTGCTTCTTCTTTGGTTGCGTTCTTCAAGCCAGACAGGTGCAAGATGGCATGGTGTTGTTTTAAATGTTGCCGTTCTGGCAATGTGTTGTGGTGATGTTGGGCTCGACCCTGCCATGCTGGTGAGCTCTACATCCTCACTCCCTCATCCTTCTTCTAAATTCGTTTGGTGCTGGTTGGGTGACTATAGGAACCATTTACGACTAGGAAGGGACTATAGGAACTTTGTGTGTTGAGAGTTGACCATTCCTATACTGTATTAGGAACTTTATGGGAAACCTAGTGGGAAACCTCTATAGGAGGGGTAAGGGATCAAAAAAAAATAGAATCAAACAACATATTCAAAGGGGATCAAAAAAATAAACAGGGAATCAACAAACATATTCTAGCCCACTGAGGATGGTTGGGGTAGTAGTAGTAGCAGTAATAGCAGTAGCAGGATTAGGAGACCAAGGGAAGAGGATGGAAGGAGTAGGGGACTAGGAGAGTGTACCTCCCTAGGAGCTCCTTCCTAGTAGGAGCTATGCCCTATAGGACTCACTTGCGTCTTGCGAAGCCGGGACACAAGAATGACGCCGCAGCGACTCCTCATCGCTTCATTGCACATATCTCGCGTTTTGTACACCCAACGCCTTCATGCGCGAAGCCCGCAACACCACTCCCATCTGCCGGCTCTCTCCGAACCACGCCGTCCTCCCGACTCTCTCTCTCTCTCTCTTCTTCGAACGCCTCACGCCGCCGCGCAGAGCGCCGAACGCCGAACGCCGGAGGAGTTGGAGTTCCGACTCTTCGTGGAGAACGCCTGCGCGGGGCCCATCACTCCCTCCGAGGCGACGCGGCGTGCAAACGCGGTGGTTGGACCGGGGGAACCGCGAAGGAAGCACCCGGTGTGCGTGGCAAACACGGCGGATCAGGGTGAAGGTTTGATTGGCCCGAACTGTGTCAATCCCCTTGGCCATGGGGAACAGGCTTCAACTTTTGATCCCAGGGTCCTTAAGCCAATCCAAGATGAGGAATTGACCCAGAGCCATAGCTGCTATCGTGTTTTTGTTGTTTAAAGAAGTTAGCATCCACTGTCACAACCACCCGTTGCTGCATGGAACATACCGTGGGATGCGGAGCGGGGCAGTCAACCCGTGTTTGTACAGGGTCACGACCGGAGCTTCCTCTTGGACCCCCTTAAGGGACCATTGAGACTGAGACCATCCAAGAGAGGTTCAACAGCCCTAAAGGTCGCCCATCCCATATGTACCACAAACCATGAATCATGATGCTGTAGGCATTGCATGTGACATAGTTTAGAGTTTGACATAGTTTCACCACTGTTCTTCAACGAGGTGCTGGAGCTTCCTCTCTATGCAGCCCGGACGGACTATGGCTTCGAGTATGTCTTGCCCAGCAAGATGCGGAGCTTTATGGCCAATCGTGAACTGGCCAATCCAGCAACATTTCTGGTTTTTGCATTGGGCTGAGCAGCGAAGATTTTGGGGGGGCGTGGTAATTGATCAGCATGCGCATGTCCAGTGGGGACTACTGGTGTTCTATTTCCTATAAAGCCGGAGGTGGCTGAAAGGCTTTGTTTCTGAAAAGATCTTCTGGTGAACCTATGTGACCTGTAGAGTAATTACTTAATGCTTTATGGAGTGTCCTTAATTTGCCCACTGACTCTCTCTCGAAACCCACCATGTTTCTTTGGAACTTCTGCGTTGCTGAAGGTGGGTTGGGACTTTCATCCATCTCCGCGTTTGGAGGCGCCTGTTCTAGGAAGTAATGTGAGGGAAGGTTTGCTCAAGGTCCCTTGCCATGATTGGAGTTGCCACTGAAGAACAGTACTGGCATTGGGACAGTGAAGTGGCAAATGACGTGCATCGATGGTTGCACACCGCGGCGGTGTTGAACATCACTCCTCTGCAGGCTCACGCCGAACATGGGGAAACCTTCTCTGGTCTGACTGTGAAGATGCAATACACGCTAGCCTCGGTGGCTCCCCTTGCGCTTGCCATGTTCGGCGCGCCATCAGCGGACAACGAGTACACAGTTGTCGACATCCCCTTGGCACAAGGCCTCAAGACCGCCCTGACAAAGCATGAGATGGGCGAGTGCTTGTCGATGGCGAAAACGCTCGTGTTTATGGCGTTGCACCAAAAGATGACCATCGGCCACGCGTGGAAACACGATGTGGCCACGGTTCGCAAGGCAACGTCCCTGCTTCTCAACACGTCAGGCCACAACGTCGATTTCCTTCCCACCGCAGGATCAATGAAAGCAAGCTCGGCGAAGGCATTGAGCACCCTCTGTTCAGTATTTCGCCTAGCCCTGCACCCAGTCGATTTACGGACAGGGGCGGCATACCTTGGTGCAGTGCTGGTGCGCGAGAGAAGCATTCCTCACTTCGAAGAATTCAACCTGGCTACTTGCAACGCCTGGCGCAATGGCGCCTGGATCGTGGAGGGTATGGCCACTTCTTTGACATGCATGGCGACCTCTTTGAGCCAAAAACAAAGCAACAGCTCAACTTCACAGCAAGCCCATGCTTGGGTTGGAAAGGCTGAGTGGCTTATTTTAGCAAACACATGCTGTAACACAAAGATATGTATACACACATGTATATATATATATACATATATACACATATATGCCTTGCCAAAACGCATAGAAACATACCTTTGTCTGTTTGGTTGTGGTGTTTGTTTCCAAGTAGTGCCCTTGCCCCCCCCCCACCACTTTCAACATGTTTTCTTCATGCGCTGTGGTTGTGCTTGCTATGCCAACTATTGTGGCAAACTACTGTGGCATATCCCTTTTGCCAAGGAACAAAACCATTATCCATTGTGGCATGTCCCTTTTTGTCAAGGAACAAAACCATCATCCATTGTGACATGTCCCTTTTGTCAAGGAACAAAACCACCCTCAAAACAAAACTGCCAGCTAGTGTGGTCCATTGTGGTCATCACACCCTTTTGTCAAGGATGTTTTTT